CATCGAAAACCTTGGCTGGGGGGCTGGAGCATCGAAAATCTTGGTTGCGGGTGGCCGGTGCATCGAAAACCTTGGGCAGTGGCTGGTGCATCGAAAACCTTGGTTTGGCTGGTGCTTTGGGGTGGCTGGTGCATCGAAAACGGCCGTGCGTCGACAATGTTGGTTTTCATGCGTAGCGATGAGCGCAGGGACCCCCCGCCCAGCTTGCGCAAAGGCGGCGCCTGTTTCCTCCGAAGATTGTCATTGGAGGCACTTGAACCTAGCAAACGGGGCTCGCCAACTCTTGGGGCAGCTTCCCCCTAGTCAGGCCACACAAGCGCCAGATCGAATTGGCTGCCAAGGCCTCCAAATACCCAACCTGAAGCCGTAAGCAGTTTGCGCAGCCTGGGTGGTTTTGGGCTTCCTGGGCTGGCCCCAAACGACATTCTCCCTTAGGCCACACTTCAGTTTCGGTTGCCCTTGAATATAGAGAAAAAAGACTTGAGCTTCTGCCGAACCACTTTGCTGCTGGCGCAAGAATCATCCTCGAAGACCGGGTGTGAGCCAACACCAACATCGGAGGCTGCGAGCGCTGATCATCATTGATCTACCACATCGCGGTCGGAGGGCATGAGCCATGGCGCGGATCTTCAGGGCACAAGCTCAAGACTAGCCCGCCTGCCTGGCGGGTTGGTGGCAACTACCCCCTGCTCCATTTGTTTCTGGGTGTTTGTTGGATCGCCAAGTTTTTCATGGCAAACACCACTTTTCTTTTGCAGAGAGCTGACAAACAGTTGGTATTTGGTGTAGGAGGTGAGATTGTAGTTGCAAGTGGCACGTTAAACGAAGGTTCGGCACTTCCTGAAACTCTCTTTGATTTCTTTGATTTGGAACTCGTGAAGAAGGCCCCCTTCCAGCTTGGCTTCACCAGTGTCTGGTCGCGTCCAGCTGTTGCACTTTTACCTCCGTGCCCTACCCAATCCCTGATAGACGGCTTGGAGAGCTCCGATTGGACGGCACTTATGACATCTTGAGTATCTTGTAGTTGGTCTTCTGAAATCTGAGCTGACTCAACTTATCCCAGGTCAGAGGCCCATCCCCATTGCGCACGGAAGGCGCTAGTGACTTCTTGGTTTCTTTTGTACTAGGTCTAACAGGTGTAACAGAAGCCTTGTCGTTGCCGGGCCTCTGTCGGACCAGCGCGTGCGTGTGTGTGTGTGTGTGTGCCGAACAAATACCTTGCAAAAGGGCCTGGTTTGGTCGTTCTTGGAAAAAGTTGCCTTTTTTCGGAAACAAACCCGTGCGCTGCTGGCTAAGTTCTTGAAACCTGGTAGTGGGCCTTTTGGCCAAAGAGAAAGTGTTCTGAGTGGTCCCTTGTGGCAATGTGACCTTCTTGGGAAAAAGGCGCTTGAACACAAAACGCACCCCCGGGTGCAAACTAGTGTGGTCTCTTTTGTCTTCTGAAAAGTCATGCGCCGTTCTTGGGTGAAAGAAAACAAGCAAGCGCACGAAGAGACCTCGATACCCTTGCGATTTAAATAGCTTAAAGCGCCTAACGTGTTCCCTTTTTGTTTGGCTCAAAGTGCTCGCTGGTTCCAGGCTTCTTGGCCAGCTCAATTTCTCCCGGCTAGAAATGCTGCTCAGGCTGTCAGGCTGGGCTAACAGAGGTTAGACGCGCTGCGAACAAAAAGCAAAGCGTTCCCCTATATCTTTGCCGTCTGTTTTTTGCCTGAAGCTGGGCTCAGTTGCCACAAATTTGGGTTCAGTTGCCGCCAATGTAACTTTGATGCTGCAGTGAAATCTGCCGCGCAGTTTGGGGGAATTCACTCCTCGCGTCCCCTCTGCATAGGAGGAAGGACACGCTTGCGCCAGGATCACTGCATGGTCCCACGAGGCGGCACCTACGCTGACGTCGCTGCCTCTCATTATACTATGATTGCATCCACAGCAAAGATGGGAGGTGGGAACTTCGGTCATCGATTGCTGTTCCCAGCTACGTCGGGATGTTTTGGTGACTATACTTCCTTGGCAATCTTGTTGCAGCGCTGTCAGCGCGGCCCCTATGAAGCTACAAGGTGCGGTTTGCAGCAGCTGACTTTTCGTGATCCATCGACGTGGTATGTGCCCGTGCTATCTCCTCCTCGTCATGAAAGTCAAGACGCTCCGGGTACAGGTGTGGAACATGAATCACGACCAGGAGGTACGGTCAGGGCTGATCTCGTTGCACACCTTCCTCCGCCCAGAATGACTGCACCCACCACGGTCAACGTCAACCGAGGGCCCGTGACTACGCCAGCCTCTACCCCGCACCCAGGTGCTTCGTCATTTCGCCCGTCTCCCACCGTGGCGCATGGTCCTCGCAAACTTCTACAAGAGTTCACGACAGCACTTCGCAATGCATACCATGAACCTTTCGCGGCATGGACACAAGGGGAGTTGGATGAGATGGTCCGGCGGAAAAAGGACAAGGATGCGAGGCCTACCTACAAGACTATTGCCCGTTCCCTCCAGAAGAGTACGGATGAAGTCAAGCAGGCCTGGAAAGTATACCAACGACTTGAGGCGCGCAACTAGAATTCCCTGAGCCCGTGCGGATTCTTGCCGTGAAAATCTTGTTGAGTGTTGGGAGTTGTGTCTGATTCTCCACCTTACATAACTTTGCATGCAGACATGATGGATCAAGACATGACGGAGCAACATGTTCAGACGTTCATCACCTGGACACATGGAGCGCATCCCACGTGGCTACAATACCATGGCCCTGCGCATGACGCTCGTGAATTCCGAGCCCAGTGTGAAGTACCAATACGCATACCGGCGCCGCCACCACCACCTCCACATTTTGTTCTACTCCCACCGCCTCCTCCGCCTCCTCCGCCGCCGGAGATATTTCATTCTCAGTTTGTGCCTACAATACGAACTTCACCGACATCATTTCCACGTGGCAGATCCTGTCCGGTTACCACATCCTCCAATCGCACACGACAATCAGCGCAAAGTGCGGGACATCATCAACATCATTCGCGGAGTCCATCCTCTACGCGTGGATCCAAATTAACCCGCAAGAGTGCCGGGAAAAGAGAGTTACAGCGTCAGCGCCAGGACGCTATTCTCACAGGCCTTTCACCGTGTTCACTCCCAAACGATCGACCCGCGCCACAAGGTCCCGAACTATGAGATGCAAGCATCACTGTGCTCTCCTGCACAATGGCCGGAAGTGTCTTTCTCCTTATGCGCGACGCCAACCGGGGCACTTTCACTGTCGATGTGCACGTCATCAACGGCAGTAGCTTGAAGACAGTGAGTCTCCTGAGTGACAATACGTCTACCTTCTCCACCGAGGATCTCACCTGTCTACAGGCAGGGATTAGCCAACAACTTGAGGATCGATCGCGTCAAGCATCACTGCCTCATCAGCCAGCACGCACTTCTCAAGACGCCCTGAATCTGCTGGACTCGCTGAGCCCTATTTGCCCACAGGCCGCCCTTGCAGTTCGAACGCCAAGGAGAAGTCCATTTTTGAACTAGTTGCTGAGTAGACAGACGAGTATGTGGCATGCAGCAAAATGGTGCTTTCTTGATGTCTTGCTTGATTGAGTGTTGTCCGTTGTGCATGTTTGCTGGTGCTTATGCGCTCCTAGCTGGATCGGATACCGTTCTTTCACCGCAACATGGAAATTGATGCGCACCAGGATGGCGTCAACAGCCCTGGCTGGAGTATTCATACTGGCAGGGACAAGAATGGGTGAAGGTTTACACTCCTGAAAAACCTCATCTACCTGATAACACATTTCGCGTGTGGAAGCCGGTGGTCTCACTACGAGATGAAACTCAAGGCAGTGAAGATTGGCAATCTGGGCAGGGTCATCAATCGCACAGCCACCGCGAGTCTTGGACCACTCAGGATTGACGGATATTGACCCGCTATGAGTCCTTCTCCGTCAACAATGCCTCCATTGAACCGCATGAACCCGGACATATCCATCCAGGTGGAACAGCTTGGCACATCTCAGCACGGTCTTCGTCAGCAGGATCGCAACCTGCTCGACCTTTTCACCTACTCCCCACCTCTGACAGATCCCGTACATCAGTCCTCGCTGTACCTTCCGCCAGTCCTGCCATCAACTGCAGGACAAAGGGGCGGACTATTCCCTGCTCAACTTGGTGATCCTGTGTCCCCGCCTTCTGAGCGGCGCCGTACAGAGCGTGCAAACTCACGTCCTCCTCGCCGCGGAGGACATTTTGGTTGACACTAGGAAGCTGCAGATTTGGTCTTCCGGATACAAAAGATAGAGTACGCCACTCTTGGAGGGGCGTGTGTCTTGGAGGGGCGTGTGTGTGCGGAGTGACAGAACACCCTGTCACCACCTTTAAGCTCTGGATGTTATCGCAGGGGGGCAAGGTCTCCAGTGATGAACCTTGCCCAACGAAGCTGCATCACTGGAGGGGGTGCAGGGCCTGATCAGCCTTGTGTACCTGCAACTTTTGAGTGATTCTGAAAGTGTATTTGCCCCTCTTCTTTTGCTGCTGTGTGTGCTTCATGTTGGAACTTGTAACGCTTTCGTCGCTAGAGGGAAACCGAGTGCATCGCGAGCCGCAACTTCACCCACTCGAGACTCATCATGGAAAGGTTGTACTCGAGACTCATCAGTTGTACTCGAACGATTAGCATCCTCCCTTGGGAGTTGAAGTGTGTGTGTGTGTGTTTGTTTGTTTGTTTGTTTGTTTGTTTTGTTTGTTTGTTTGTTTGTTTGTTTGTTTGTTTGTGTATGTTTGTGTTTGTGCTTGTGTGTTTGTGAAAGTGCGCGTGTATGTGTGTGTGTGTGCGGGTTGTGTGTGTGTGTGTGTGAGAGTGTGTGTGTGTGTTTGCGTGTTTGTGTATGCACGCGCAGTTTCTATACGTTAGCGTGTGCAGAACAAGGCGGTGCTGATTGCCTGATGTGCATGATGTCCATCGCTTCCTTGCTTTGGGCATGATTGTGAACCGCTTCCCCGGTGACGTGTTGCTGCGCATTTGACAGGGCGCCAACCGCCTGTTTCTATACAAGAGCAACTCGGCCATTGCAACGCAGCTCGACTGGACTGTCTTTTGACCCCAAATAAGGTATAGAATATCTGGATTTGGACAGAGCTGCCCTGGAGGGCGAGGTGCGCTTGACAGGTCCTAAAGAAATTGTTCTCTTGAAAACACAGGTGGGCGTTTGCATGTTCGACCTCAGCCGCGGTGCCTTGCTCAGCCGGGCTAAGAGGAGAGGGCTGTTGAAGCCGCCTGGGCATTGCAGTTACGCTGCTGGTGGCGGCTTTGGATCGAGTGGACGGGCATGACGCGCCCAGGCTATAGAACTTTTTTGGAGGGTGTTGTGTCAGTTGTCTATATGCCAGGCTCATCAGCAATGCGGGGTACATTTGCAAATGGATCGACTCGTCCCACGTCTTGGTCGTGATGAGGCGGGAATTGGGGTTCAGTTGGCTTGCTCCCCAAGCAGCTTGTGAGGGCTTCGGGTGGTGCTGCGGTGCGAAAAGCCGCCGAGCTGGCGGGAAAGGCCTTGGAGAGACGAGTGACTGGTAGTGATTCATAGTGACTGGTAGCGACTTTGTGAGCCAGGTGCACGGTGTGGTATCCTGGATGGGATTTGACGAGTGGCGCGAAGGAGAGGCCGTGAAGGTTGTGAAGGCCGGACATCTCGACGCATGTTCGGCATGTCTTGCAGCTTGCAGCTTTCTCAGGTTGACAAAGACACCGCGGAGGTGGCCCGGAGCTCGGGCGCTCACACTGGCACACTGGCGCATGTTGGCACCTGTTGGCACCATGGGCTCAGGAGGACCTGCCAGACTGCGTCAGAGCCCAGGTCGGCCCGGCCCGGCAGGGCCAAAGTGAGTTCCGAGTTGCGGAGGCGAAGCTCCTCGAAAGCGGGGCCCCTGGTTTTGTGCAACCTGAGCTCACCGGCTTGCGACGGCTTGTGACGGCTTGCGACGAGGCGAGAGCTTCTTGGAGCAACTCGTGCGATACGGCCGCCTGCTCTCAAGGCGGGTACCAAGTGCCATGAGACCCTATGAGAAGCCAGGCTACAGCTTGTTTCTAGCCAGGCAAAGATCCAAGCTGTTGGCTGCCGGCACGGGACTTCTGCAGCTACCCCAGATAGCTGGTTTATGCGAAGCGTGTGTGGAGAAAGGCTCGTGCAAGGCTGGTATCGCTGTGCATCCGTGCTCGAGCCGAGCTGGAGTCGGCGTTTTCCAGGCAGGTTCGGGGTGGACGCTATTTGCTTGGTGCAACTGAACCTGGAGCTCAGGCTGCTGCGAGGCTTGTGCAGAAGACCGTTGCACCTGGCCGGGTGGCGGTAGAGCTAAAGCAAACCTGTAAAGTTCAATTCAACAGGGATGATTTGGGCTCATTCCTAGCTGATAGCTCCAATTCAACAAATCATCCCTAACCCTGTCGGCTTCCAGCCTGACTGCAGAAATAGGCGTCCCGTCTTCCTATTTGGAGCCTTGCCAAGACGCCTAGTTCTGTGCACCGGCGCGTAGTCAGGACTGGGGAACGCTCCTTGCCTTCCCGTGGAAGTTGACGGTTGCCTGCTCGGAGAAAGGGCTTCCCGCGCGCGCTCCGAGAGCGCAGAGGCGCGCAGATGCGCGCAGAGGCGCGCAGAGGCGCTTGCTTGCGCATCGCGCATGCACTCTTCGCAGCCATTGCCCGAGCCAAAGCGGCACGAGCCATGAGCCCTGTTCGTAAGATCCAGTCCTGATAGGCGACACGAGGCAACACGCAACGCAGGGGAGAGAGAGGGGCTGGGAGCCATGGCGGTCATGGAGATGGACCCACCACCCGCAGGCGGGGGGAGAGGTTCAACAGGTTCAATCTGCCCAGAATTCGACAGGCGTCAGCCAGAAAGCCACGGAGGTGCAGAAAGAATTCGGCTGGTTCATGGCCATCACAGTCACGCTCTCGGTTTTTCTGCACCCGCTCTCAAGCTTCGATGCAGCTGAGGCATGGCTGGTTTGGCCCGCCATTTGCGCACTGCCGTGCAAAGCCGAGTCTCTCCTTTTCTTCGGCACTGTGATTGAAGTCAAGTGTGAGGCTCAGCCTCACGATCGGGAGTGCCTACAGATCAGTGTTCCCTGCTGGGTGGTATGACGAGGCAGTTGAACGCGTACTTTGCCACATGCCGATATCCTTGTTTGACCCATTTGACCCATGGGACCCATGGGACCCATTGGACCCATTTGCATGGGACCGATTTGACCCATTTTAGGCGCCGGTGGTGCCCGTTCTCGGCCTCTTCGGGGCAGACCCCCACACCGCACGCGGCCCATCCCACGGATCGACGTCCCACGTCCTTGGGACGAGGTGAAGCCGCTGGGCCTCGTGCTGGGCCTCTCTGCAGTGGCCGTGGGCCAGGCCCCGCTTGTACTGCGTGTATCCGCTTGAAAAGAAGAGGTATACAAGGTACAAATAAAGAAAAAGTGAGAGGGCAAGTGACGAAATAAGGGAACATGCGGAAGAACAAAAGAACAAACACAGGAAACAAGAAGATACAGACTGCAGTTCTTCATGATCTGGTACCACTTCCTGCGCCGCTCTGCGCTCCTGGGCGATTTGCAGCGAGTGCAGCCCCAGGCAAGCTGCGCTTCCGCGTGCAGCTCTTTCGTATTCTCTGCGCAGCTCTGCGCAGGTGCGAGACTATGCCTTCTCAGAGGGTCTTCGAACCCATTTGGGCAACCCAGAAGGTGGGAGCCCCGATTGCTCCGGATGCCCGATGTCGCCCTCGCTGGATGGTTCTGGGTGTGCAAGGCTTTGCGCTGCTGGGCAGTTACCTGATAGGCCCGAGTCAGCATGTTGTGAGATCCGCACATGAAGTTCCACTTGTCACACCTGTTCTTCCAGGCACATGGATGCTGGGGTGGATGTTCTCTCCCCGGGCAGCCTTGCCACTGCCGCTGTTTGGTCTGCTGTCGTCTCAGGCCCTCCTCTTACTATTCCTTTGCGGGCGGCATCAACTGGATTCACGTGGCCTTGCAACTGCTTTTGCAGGAGAGCCGGGGGTAGGATTCGGATGCTCCAGAGTGAGGCATGATATGACCTGACAGGACCTGATTCAATGCTTGATGCACTTTGGGGAGCACAAGGCAGAGACTTAGGACAGTTTCTCAACAGGCCAGTGAGCTCGCCAGATCTCGACCTGGGTGTACCAGAACTCCCACAAGCCACACCACCGCTTCACCAATCCCCGCACCTTGGCCAGTTTCATATGACTTCAAATGCCTCCAAATGACTTCATTTGCGTCGGTTGCATTCGGTTGCATTCAGCGGGAAGGTATTTTCGATGCCTTCGATGGGAGCCTGGTGGACACGATTTGCATGATCCTGGTGCCCCTTATCATCGTGGCGCGGCTGGTGCCAGCCAACGTGTGGCCAGGAGCACAGAGCCATGCTGCTTCTCTGGTTGGGAAGTGTTTTTCCTTTCTAAAAAAAATAATAAAAAAAAGGTTGTGCATGGTTGTGCCTTCCGCCATCTTTGTTTCTTGCCTATCTGTGTGAGCTGCCTCGGGTAGATGCGAAGGCTGGCACATGCCTTGGAGCTGAGGTCTTACATGACCTTTGGGACACTCTACGCAAATTGGCTCGCTTCCAAGAATGCCCGGCAAAATCGGATACAGCTTGCATTTGGTGACATTCGACTTAGGCTGGTGCTGATCCACTCCGAGTTCGTGCATCCCTGGGACGAAGTTTTCAGGATGGGATGGGGCCAACACCTGACCGCAACCTGCATGGTCTGAAGAGAGAAGTGAACGGGAAGAGAGTGGAAGGGATTGCTGGCACACTGGAGTGCCGTGGTGTAACAAAAAACATACTGAGACTTGGAGATGTGTCTAATGATTTAAGCCGAAAGCGATCTAGATGCGTTGGAGAGGATGTTTCGAAGGGCACGGTCTTTGCCACCGCATAGGAAGCTCGGCTTTGGCACCGCCGCAGATCATCACGTTCACCACAGGCAGACATGGCGAGGGCACGCTGCACAACCCTTCGAGTGTGCCAGGCTCTTCGTGTACAATTATGGCCACCTCTTCATGTATTGGGACAAGTTGCTAGGAACATACAGGCCACGGTGCACGCACTGCTTGCGCACCGCTTGCGCACCGCTCGAGCCTTGGCAAGGGATCCGCGAGCCCTCGCGGGCAAGCAGTTCAGCAAGGACCGAAAGAGTCTGAAGAGTCGGAAGAGTCGGAAGAGTCGGAAGAGTCGGAGAGTCGGAGTCGGAAGAGTCGGAAGAGTCGGAAGAGTCGGAAGAGTCGGAAGAGTCGGAAGAGTCGGAAGAGTCGGAAGAGTCGGAAGAGTCGGAAGAGTCGGAAGAGTCGGAAGAGTCGGAAGAGTCGGAAGAGTCGGAAGAGTCGGAAGAGTCGGAAGAGTCGGAAGAGTCGGAAGAGTCGGAAGAGTCGGAAGAGTCGGAAGAGTCGGAAGAGTCGGAAGAGTCGGAAGAGTCGGAAGAGTCGGAAGAGTCGGAAGAGTCGGAAGAGTCGGAAGAGTCGGAAGAGTCGGGAAGAGTCGGAAGAGTCGGAAGAAGAGTCGGAAGAGTCGGAAGAGTCGGAAGAGTCGGAAGAGTCGGAAGAGTCGGAAGAGTCGGAAGAGGCGGAAGAGTCGGAAGAGTCGGAAGAGTCGGAAGTCGGAAGAGTCGGAAGAGTCGGAAGAGTCGGAAGCGTCGGAGCGTCGGAAGAGTCGGAAGAGGCGGAAGAGGCGGAAGAGTCGGAAGAGTCGGAAGAGTCGGAAGAGTCGGAAGCGTCGGAAGAGTCGGAAGAGTCGGAAGAGTCGGAAGAGTCGGAAGAGTCGGAAGAGTCGGAAGCGTCGGAAGAGTCGGAAGAGTCGGAAGAGTCGGAAGAGTCGGAAGAGTCGGAAGAGTCGGAAGAGTCGGAAGAGTCGGAAGAGTCGGAAGAGTCGGAAGAGGCGGAAGAGTCGGAAGAGTCGGAAGAGTCGGAAGAGGCGGAAGAGTCGGAAGCGTCGGAAGAGTCGGAAGAGTCGGAAGAGTCGGAAGCGTCGGAAGAGTCGGAAGAGTCGGAAGAGTCGGAAGAGGCGGAAGAGTCGGAAGAGTCGGAAGAGTCGGAAGAGTCGGAAGAGTCGGAAGAGTCGGAAGAGTCGGAAGAGTCGGAAGAGTCGGAAGAGTCGGAAGAGTCGGAAGAGTCGGAAGAGTCGGAAGAGTCGGAAGAGTCGGAAGAGGCGGAAGAGTCGGAAGAGTCGGAAGAGTCGGAAGAGTCGGAAGAGTCGGAAGAGTCGGAAGAGTCGGAAGAGTCGGAAGAGTCGGAAGAGTCGGAAGAGGCGGAAGAGTCGGAAGAGTCGGAAGAGTCGGAAGAGTCGGAAGAGTCGGAAGAGTCGGAAGAGTCGGAAGAGTCGGAAGAGTCGGAAGAGTCGGAAGAGTCGGAAGAGTCGGAAGAGTCGGAAGAGTCGGAAGAGTCGGAAGAGTCGGAAGAGTCGGAAGAGTCGGAAGAGGCGGAAGAGTCGGAAGAGTCGGAAGAGTCGGAAGAGTCGGAAGAGTCGGAAGAGTCGGAAGAGTCGGAAGAGTCGGAAGATGCACGGAAGAGTCGGAAGGTCGATAGAGTCGGTAAGAGTCGGAAGAGTCGGAAGAGTCGGAAGAGATCCTAAGTGTCGAGATGTCGGAGAGTCGAAGAGTCGGAAGAGGCGGAAGGTCGGAAGAGTCGAAGAGCGGAAGAGGCGGGAAGAGGCGGAAGAGTCGGACGAGTCGGAAGAGTCGGAAGAGGTCGGAGGTCGGAGAGCGGAAGGTCGGAAGAGGCGGAGTGTCGGAGAGTCGGAGAGGTGGAAGAGTCGGAAGAGTCGGAAGAGACGGAAGAGTGGAAGAGTCGGAAGAGTCGAAGAGTTCGGATGAGCGAGGTCGGAAGAGTGGTCGAGTCCAGAGAGGCGGAAGAGTCGGAGAGTCGGAAGAGTCGAGAGTCGGAAGAGTCGGAAGAGTCGGAAGAGGCGGAGTCGGAAGAGTCGGAAGAGTCGGAAGAGTCGGAAGAGTCGGAAGAGTCGGAAGAGTCGGAAGCGTCGGAAGAGTCTGAAGAGTCGGAAGAGTCGGAAGAGTCGGAAGAGTCGGAAGAGGCGAAAGAGTCGGAAGAGTCGGAAGAGTCGGAAGCGTCGGAAGAGTCTGAAGAGTCGGAAGAGTCGGAAGAGTCGGAAGAGTCGGAAGAGTCGGAAGAGTCGGACGTCGGAAGAGTCGGAAGAGTCGGAAGAGTCGGAAGAGTTGGAAGAGTCGGAAGAGTCGGAAGAGTCGGAAGAGTCGGAAGAGTCGGAAGAGTCGGAAGAGTCGGAAGAGGCGGAAGAGGCGGAAGCGGAAGAGTCGGAAGAGTCGGAAGAGTCGGAAGAGTCGGAAGAGTCGGAAGAGTCGGAAGAGTCGGAAGAGGCGGAAGAGTCGGAAGAGTCGGAAGAGTCGGAAGAGTCGGAAGAGTCGGAAGAGTCGGAAGCGTCGGAAGCGTCGGAAGAGTCGGAAGAGGCGGGGCGGAAGAGTCGGAAGAGTCGGAAGAGTCGGAAGAGTCGGAAGAGTCGGAAGAGTCGGAAGAGTCTGAAGAGTCGGAAGAGTCGGAAGAGTCGGAAGAGTCGGAAGAGTCGGAAGCGTCGGAAGAGTCGGAAGCGTCGGAAGAGTCGGAAGCGTCGGAAGAGTGGGAAGAGTCGGAAGAGTCGGAAGCGTCGGAAGCGTCGGAAGCGTCGGAAGTCGGAAGAGTCGGAAGAGTCGGAAGAGTCGGAAGAGTCGGAAGAGTCGGAAGAGTCGGAAGAGTCGGAGTCGGAAGAGTCGGAAGAGTCGGAAGAGTCGGAAGAGTCGGAAGGCGGAAGAGTCGGAAGAGTCGGAAGAGTCGGAAGAGTCGGAAGAGTCGGAAGAGTCGGAAGAGTCGGAGGTCGTCGGAAGAGTTGGAAGAGTCGGAAGAGTCGGAAGAGTCGGAAGAGTCGGAAGAGTCGGAAGAGTCGGAAGAGTCGAAGAGTCGGGAGAGTCGGAAGAGTCGGAAGAGTCGGAAGAGCCGGAAGAGTCGCAAGCGTCGGAAACGTCGGAAGCGTCGGAAGCGTCGGAAGCGTCGGAAGCGTCGGAAGCGTCGGAAGCGTCGGAAGCGTCGGAAGCGTCGGAAGCGTCGGAAGCGTCGGAAGCGTTGGAAGCGTCGGAAGCGTCGGAAGCGTCGGAAGCGTCGCAAGCGTCGGAAGAGTCGGAAGCGTGGGAAGAGTCGGAAGAGTTGGAAGAGTTGGAAGAGTCGGAAGAGTCGGAAGAAAGAAGAGTCGGAAGAGTCGGAAGAGTCGGAAGAGTCGGAAGAGTCGCGGAAGAGTCGGAAGAAGAGTCGGAAGAAGAGTCGGAAGAAGAGTCGGAAGAAGAGTCGGAAGAAGAGTCGGAAGAAGAGTCGGAAGAAGAGTCGGAAGAAGAGTCGGAAGAAGAGTCGGAAGAAGAGTCGGAAGAAGAGTCGGAAGAAGAGTCGGAAGAACAGTCGGAAGAAGAGTCGGAAGAAGAGTGGGAAGAAGAGTCGGAAGAAGAGTCGGAAGAAGAGTCGGAAGAAGAGTCGGAAGAAGAGTCGGAAGAAGAGTCGGAAGAAGAGTCGGAAGAAGAGTCGGAAGAAGAGTCGGAAGAAGAGTCGGAAGAAGAGCCGGCAGAAGAGTCGGAAGAAGAGCCGGAAGAAGAGCCTGAAGAAGAGCCGGAAGAAGAGCCGGAAGAAGAGCCGGAAGAAGAGTCGGAAGAAGAGTCGGCAGAAGAGAGTCGGAAGAAGAGAGTCGGAAGAAGAGAGTCGGAAGAAGAGAGTCGGAGGAAGAGAGTCGGAAGAAGAGAGTCGGAAGAAGAGAGTCGGAAGAAGAGTCGGAAGAAGAGTCGGAAGAAGAGTCGGAAGAAGAGTCGGAAGAAGAGTCGGAAGAAGAGTCGGAAGAAGAGTCGGAAGAAGAGTCGGAAGAAGAGTCGGAAAGAAGAGTCGGAAGAAGAGTCGGAAGAAGAGTCGGAAGAAGAGTCGGAAGAAGAGTCGGAAGAAGAGTCGGAAGAAGAGTCGGAAGAAGAGTCGGAAGAAGAGTCGGAAGAAGAGTCGGAAGAAGAGTCGGAAGAAGAGTCGGAAGAAGAGTCGGAAGAAGAGTCGGAAGAAGAGTCGGAAGAAGAGTCGGAAGAAGAGTCGGAAGAAGAGTCGGAAGAAGAGTCGGAAGAAGAGTCGGAAGAGTCGGAAGAGTCGGAAGAGTCGGAAGAGTCGGAAGAGTCGGAAGATGGACGAGTCGTCTTTTTGTTGAATTGTGATTCTTGTGTTCCTTTTCTTTTTTCTCGATTCTCGAGCGCGTTGCGGCTGTGAGGACGTTTGAGTGCATGGATCCTTTTGTCGAGGCTCCTTGCCCGTGGCAAAGCCCCGAGGACCTAGGCTAAGGATGCAAGGTGAAGCCAGGCAACTTGGCCACGTCCACATTTTCCAAGCTGCATGGAGCGAAATCCAGCAAGCTTGCAAGCGGAAAACTGAGAAACCGAGCTTGATCTGGTTGCGCGCGCATTGTGTCCCTTTGAGCTTGCCAACCTATTCGGAAGTTCCACTCTGATCGACTGCAAGTCGTCTGTCCACGCGAAGCTTCTGAATGAGCAACAGGTGAGTCAGCCGAGCCGGTTTTGCAGCCCGTGGTTTGATCACAGCTTCAACTAAGAGAATGCCTTGATGCAGAAAATCAATGCTATGAAGCCCACCTCGAAATTGCATGCGTGCAAGCACCACACCAGCAGCTGCAGATGCGGGGAGATTGCGCCATTCCATGTTTTTCCTGGACGCGGCACGTGCATATTTCTTCTGCATTGAGTGAAGCAGGTTGACCACGGCTTCCATGGCAAGCCCTTCGGATTCATATTAGTTTGCTGATGTTGACTTGGCTTGCACCTTGCACCGTGTTGTCACCCATAGCGATCCATAGCATCCATAGCATCCATAGTAGGGCAGTGCACCGTGCAACATGTGCGGAGCACCCCGCATGCAATGCGTTGGGCTTGGAACGGCGGCATTGGCGCTGGCCTTGGCGAATGCGGCAATTCCTTGTGTGAATTCGGCGGGGCCAAGCAGGCGCTGAGATGCAAAGGAACGGTGTGATGCTGGTGGCAGTGGAATTTCTGCGGGATATCAGAGAGTCTATTCCAGGAGCCCGGGACCTCATAAATGAAAGTCTCAGCCAAAGCCAGTAATGTCAGGCGGGACCTTAGGATTTCGGGTCTCAGACTAGGTAACTAGGCAGAGTTGGCAGCATGCCCCACGACTGTCCTGCATCCAGCTTCAGAGATCTGGTGTCCTAACATGAGACCCCAGACATGGAACTTAGGACCACTGACGCTTAGAATTGCCAAACTTGCACAGTGAATTCAAACTTGCACTAAGTTCCGTATGCATTTGTTCACGCACCTCATGCATTGTGTTGCAATGGTGCCTTGTTTAGGGCACGTTGCGCTTCAATGTTCTTTTAATGCGTTTTGACGCGAGGCCTTGTTATGCAGGCCTCGGGGGTCATTCTAATCAACGCCTTTCAACTTTCCAAAGTCCATTCATTGAAATAACTTCATTGTGTCCACCGGTGTTGCTGTGAGAAACCTGTGTGGAAAGTGTTTTACACGCAATATTGTTTGTCTTCATGGGAAAAAGTACAAAGTCTGCTTTGCCGATAGACTGGATTTTTGATCAACAAATCGTCGTGCCACTATCTATGTTTCGCTGGTGTGCGCGGTACTCGCCTGAACACAGACCGGGAGCGAGCAGCCGGAGGCCGTGGGCCTCTTTCAGCTATCTGGTTCCGACACCTTTGTTTTCACGGTCTTGTCTAGAGGTGCCTCCCGCAGGTAGCCTTAGATGAGGGCTCCTAGGGCTAGGGCTCCTAGGGCTTGATGAAAGCTGAAGGCAAACGAGGCGGGAGTCGATGATTGAATCCGTTTGCGCAGGCCCTCGCCTGGAGTGCCCCGGCGACCCAGCCGTCCATCGCCAAGTGCGAGGGAGCTGAATATGCCGATGAGCTTCGCACACGAGCATATGTGCATCAAATGCAGACGGGCGTATGTGCATTACCATCGTTGGAGGCCCCGCTGTTGTGTTCTCAGCTCCTGAATGAAAAGTATGCCAGCGTAGACCCCAGATAGCATGTATTGTCAGCCAACGAACTAAAAATGCCAGAGCGGCCAAAGCAATTCCCACAACTGGCAATTCGCTTGCCAAAGCCTGCAGAGGCAATATTGCAACATTGGCACTATCTTGCCTGGGCTCCTGTTTTGCCACGCCGGCTCCCCAAAGACTATTTTTAGTTTTTCCCCCCGTAGCAGATATGTCTTGGGGGGCGGGGTGAGGCAACTAAGGGGGGGGGGTTATCCTCTATCCTCTCTTAGGTGTCCGACACACCGAGCAATGTCGGCGGACATTGGCACTCGCTCGCCGGAGTTTTGGTGGATTTGCTCTCAGTCCCCACTCTCAGAGCCAATGTTTTGGTGGATTTGCCTAACGCGCCGCCTGTCAGATGGCTTCGCAGTCGCGAGATGATAGCCAAAAGATAGGGCTCCCGGAAGACTGTGGGACCACGACGCCGGCCGGTGCGGCGGAAAGACGCCTGCGACAGGACTCTGCGCAACTCTGAGTCTCGGCCTGCGGCAGCGCCTTGCCTTGCAGCGCCATGCGGCAGCACCTGGCTGGAGTTCTGAGTCTCACCAACCCTTCTTTACTTGTGAAGTTGGAGCTTAGAACCCCTATAGGGGAGAAACGGCTGTAACTGGAAGTGTCTGGCTCTTCCCGCATGCGTCCCACTGCGTGCTTTGAGTATTTGTTGGCTCGAATCCCTTCCTTTGCGCCTGCAGGTCATTATTTGATTGCTGATGTGAATCTCGCAAGCACATCCTACTTTGGATTCATGAAGCTTTGATGTGGGTATGCGACAGTTCGGATGGCGTTTGCAACTCTTGACTGCGGCGAGGAAGCCTTGTACAAAGAATGGAACGTGCAATGTGGCAAGCTAAGAAACGCCGAGATTCTTTAACATGAACATAGTGCATCAGGGCGTGTCTTCACTGGTGTGGAAGGTACGTTTCATGGATTGAGTTGTTTATGCTGCCGGTCCAGTGCAGCAAGCATAGAACATGCAAGTTTCTGGCGTGCTACGCTCAGCATCTTGACGAACGGCACAAGCAGCCTCAAGCAGCGTCAAATTGGTCATGCAAGCAGCATCTGTATTGACGATGTAGCAGAACCAACATGGTGTTTCACGAAGAACCCTGCGCACGCGCACGCGTGGTGCAGCATGGCAAAGCATGCGACGGCAAAATGACACGCGCATTAGCAAGCGCTTTGGTGGTATTGGCAATACAACTCAATGCAGGTATTCTCGCAATGAGTCACTGTCAATACCAAGGGAAAAATGGCTTTCAAGCAAGTGCCCTTGGACAAGTGTGATGTGAGTAAGTGAGTTCCAGGAATGTTGGTGCAAGGGGAAGGGGTAGAGGTAGCGATTATCAAGCAAGCACCCTTAGATCGCATCAAACCATTGAGAGCGTGGGTGCTTGAATTTGCTACGTGTTTTCTCTGAGAGTTGGTGAGAGGGGATAGCCAGACCTCTTCATTCTTAATCAGAAAGTTGACGAATTGATCACGCAAGCAGGCTTTCAAGCAGGTTGGAGCTTTTAGTTGTTTCAGAAGTAACGGGGGAGAGGTTCCAACAAGCAGCGACGCTCAATGACAATGATTATAGCATCCGCGGCGTTCACCAAATTTGAACATCCACAGTGGAAATCTGCTTTAGAGGCTCCCCGGTCGCCGCAGAATCCGCTGGGCACAGTTACCCCATCTCCCGGCAGCAACGTTTTGTTTCTTTTTCCTCGACTTTCTATTTGCTCTTCCCGCTTGGTACTTCTTGTCTCTGTATCGCGCAGTCCTGTGCAGTCTTGATATTGCTCCGTGCAGTTCTGTCCGCGCATCTATGGCTTTTGACAAAGCTTAAAGCATAACTACTCTTAAACCATGAAGGCGGACAAAAGGTATCGGATGCGGCTTGAGCCTTTGCCGGCACGCACAAGGTTTTGTGCAATCTTGCCGATGCTGCCTTTGACGCGGCCCTGCCCCCATACCGCTAAATTTGGCCACACAGTGTTGGAGCTTGGCCTTGAGGGCCGTGTTGGGGTGTCCTGTTCGCGCTGTCAGGAATCCGCAGCACCGGCAGTTCCAGTTTCAATGTCCTTGGGAAGATTGTGTTTGGTATTACCTCAAAGGCGAGACGGTGGAGCAGAGAAGCAACCCGACAAGGTCTGTGACTGGCAATGAGCCGCCAGAGGAGACTGTGGCTTTGCAGTTCGCGAAGTCACAAAATGCCCCTTCCCTTGACACAGCAAACTGCAACGTTTTATCGCTCGTCGTACTTATTGTTGTTCTTTTTGGCAACTTGTTCTCGGGTTTTTGATGTCGTGCCCGAAGGAATGCTTCATAAAAATTCCTGGCGCAGTCACGTTAAGGAGACGGCTCATGGCGAGGATCTGCACGACATGGAGTATTTGCGCAAGGTAGGGCCGTGGTGCAGATGCTAGCGCGATGCATGCACAGTTCATGCTCGAGCTGATTGTTGGGACCAGATGCGCAGGTGTCTTTCACAAGAGTATCGCAGACCCAGCGCACTCGCAATGCCCGCTTGAGACGTACTCGTGAAGCTCCGTGAATTCTGAATAGCTTGCAACCAGCTGGTTTCCGTGTGTTGGGCAACAAGGGTGCTGCGGCTGAATCGTGATCGACCGGGATAGACTTTGCACTCCATTGAGGTTCGTTGCAGTCGCTGGTCAACAAGCCGAGACGGAAGTGAGCAGGTTGTGAGACAAAGTGAAGGTTCTTGACACTTGGGCAAACAACCTCTAGGCGGCCTTGCTTTTCCCTGTGGATTTCCAGCTGCAGAATTTGAGGGCTCACAGCTGCGCTTTGAGGGAGCATTGGTTTTGCAATTTCTGCGCCATGACAGCGATCAGGACCTTTGCGAGAAGCAAGTCTCCCACGCTGTTGTACGCAGTATTCACATGTGAAAGTGATCAAGCAGGGGCTGTCAGGAGACGCTGGAGCAGCCTGGCATGGCTCTGTACTTTGGCCTTCAGCACAAGTTTCAGCTGCCTCGGCCCAGCGAGGCTCGTGACCTCGCCAGAGGAGGCAAAGAGGGTGCTAAGCGATCCTTCATGGATCAGGCATCCGCTCAACGCCTTTCTGAGGGAAGCTTGGGCATGGTTCAGAGTCGGGATTCTTCCAATGGATGCATTCCCAGCTTGGTGGCGAGCCGAAGTCTGACCGAGGAAGTTTTCGGGGTTGAGAATGTCTTCACCACCAACGACACCGAGATCTTTAATGCCTCCAGGGAAGTTGTCAAACGCGGCATGGAGAAGGGGGGACTTTGCTCTGCAGCGAGCATCGCAGTGAAATCGATCACTCGAGGCCAACGACAACCATTGTCGAGATTGACTGAGCGGGTTGTTCCTGGCCATGTCTAAAAGGCAAGATAGCGTCCAGTGTTAGTAAGAAAGCACAGTATTTGTTTTCAGGTCTACAACTTCCCCAGTGTTTGTCGCTTTGCATCAAGGTTTTCGAAGTTGCCACCCGCGCTTTCCTGGGGGCGAAACATTTTGATGGCATCGGCATCGACGACATGTTTTTTGATCTCTTCAATTATTTGTGGCGCCATCGTCGAACTACACCGCCAGCTGATACCGACAAGACCTCGGCGTTGCAGGGGAAAGTGCTGCTTGGCTGGGGAGGAGCAACTCCATAATTTAATTTGCTTGTCGCGTTGGAGTCCTGAAGGCAAGCCTTCTATAGGGCCAACAAAGCTCATTTAGACAGTCAGCGCCTCAGATGGACACATAGGGCCTACACTGAATTGTCATACCACAAGACCAGCACATTTGGATTCGTGTGCACCATGGGCTTCCTCGCCTGAGGCCACGGAGTATGGGGCACGAACCTGCCGCCAGCATTGCGCACTCCAAACTCTTCAAACCTCCTCAGCATCATCATCCCAATCCACTTGAACACGTGGGTTGCCGTTCAGAGAATTCTTGTCCGACTCTTGCGGGACACTTGGCCGACTGCTCGTTGAAAAGTGGTGCCACACATCCCATGTTGCTGGGCTCAAGCGAGTCGCATCAATTATGCCTGAAGACTAGCTGACAAGCCTGCCAGAAAGAGAAAGGGCACACAGCATGCCGCATCAAAGAATCAAACACCCAGCAAGAAGCGCCACTTGCAGTTCGGGGACCCATAGAGCAGTCCAAAGTCCATACCAAGTAGTGCAAGGCCTAGATCCATTGACGGGTGGCAAGCGCCAGCACAAAACGAGGCCGTAACGAAACTAGAAGGAGTGAAGTGCGTGCTTGCAGGCACAGCAAGTGGCAAGGTGCCTTGAATTCTAGCTGTCCGCGGAGCCAAGGACGAAGCTGACCGTCAACGTGTCCAAGATGAGATAGCAAACGTGAACTTGTCCTGCGACGCGTCACTAGACAAATTCTGCATCTTGCCAGCTTGGTCGATTTTGCGCGCTTTTGTTCCGTGGGCTGGGCGGTTTCCCTTAAACAAACAACAAATGGGTGTGGCTCAAATTATAACAGGAGGGGTTACGCAGGTTTTGGTCCATGTGTCCAATTACAGGGTTCCATTTTGGTCCCGGCTTTTTGAGCCACAGCCAAATGTTGGATGCTTCACTCGTTGGCAGGTTGGTGTTTTTGTTCAACACATGTTGGTGAGTTGCTCCCCCAACAAGACACATACCGCAATATGGTGAACGACATTTTATGTCATTTGTTTTGAGAACGATGAAATCTGCTGGTGGCATGTTCAGATGGTTTTCTGTCACCTTTTTCACACTGTTCTTTTCACTTGATATGTTGGTGGGTGGGTTGGTCTCCTGGCTTGCAATGCGCGCCAGGTGAGTTGGACCGGGTCATTTGTGATGAACTGCGCCGGAATCCACCTGTCAAAAGCCTGGAAAGAGAGAACCAGGAGACAGGCGCGGTTGTTAGGCACCAAGGCCCACCAGAGATTTTAGTAATGTCCACCTAGGATCGAAACATGCGCCCGGAATAAAGACAAGAGGGTCCTGGAAAAAAGACAAGCACCCGTTGCCCGCACCTGGTCCTTGGATCCGTGGCACCTTGTTCACATTACGTGCGTGCCTCCTCACCCTGTAGCTCAAAGCTTTCTCTGGGCAAGCTAGGCAGGTAGGTAGGTAGGCAGGCTCACCTGCACTTGCTCCAGCTTTGACTCTCACCTTTGGCTCCCGGGCTCAAATCAAGCCTTTGCTTGAGCTGTCGAGTTCTGATCTTTGGCAATCTCCAAGGCTTTCATTCTTTGCTCCTGTTGCTCTTCACGCTTCCTTTGCCTTTTGCTTTGACAACTGCATCAACTGTCTAAACTTCTGCCATCAACTTACACAGTGCTGCCAACCTCTTGTTCCGGCTCTGGGCCAACACACCTGGCCAGCCTCTGGCAGCTGGGCCTTCTGAAGCAGCTCTGACAGCTAGACAGAGCTAGCTGCCTGCAGCTGTTGCACCTGGCTGGCAGCTGCGAGGGCTTGCATTGCTATTGCTGCTTTCTGCTTGCAATCTGCATGCTCACCTTCAAGGTGTCTCTGCAGAACTGCCAGCTGCATTTGGACACCTGTGGCCTAGCAAGGCACGGTCAGCTGGGCTGCCTAGAACTAGCACAATGTTCATTTTGTTGCTTGCCTGCTGAAGCTCTGAAGCTCTTCTTTCCACCTTTCTGCATTAATCTTGCAGGTGCGCTGCATCCACGACTCTTGGCCCACAAAGGAACTGGATCTAATGCCTATGCACAGCCTGTGCCTGTTTGCTATCACCTGGTCCATATCTGAAACTATTTGAGCCAACTCTAGCTCTTCTATGGGAGCTGCTCCCATGAGCCAAAGCTTGTGATCTATGGGCTATCCGCTCAGCTGTGCTCGCACCTTTGCTCTCAATGGGGCTAGTTGTGTGGTCTGTTCTTTGGTGCTCGATCAGCGTCCCCCGCGGGAGCTGAACGGCATCAGCGTGGGGGCATCGCCATGTACGACCCCGAGGCCACTCTCGCAAGAGGAAACCCTGTGCGCCCCTGAATCAGTTCAATCGTACGACAAACCTGCGTCTCAATCCCACGTTGGGTGTGAGTCAGGACACCGCGGCTTACCAACAGATCAACGCTACGCAAAACAAGAGTCTATTCAACGCCTATGTCAATCAGGACACCGGACCTATGGTCGCCCAAATCGCCGAGGCGCGGCGCGGCGATCATTGCTAGGCTTCAGCCACAGCGGGTGACGAGGCTCGAGATCCAACACCCCCACCGGTTCCAGGGGCATCTCCAACAATCCCAGCGGGCACGGATCCATCTTTGCCGCGGTCACTTCCGGCAAGCCGGGCGGAGATGCTGGCGCAACCAGTGGCGGATGGGTTGGAGCAGCTGGAGCAGTAGGTAGATGGGGAACCTTTGTCGTTCCTTTCTGACATAAGCTTCTCTCCATCATCGCTTTCAACTCCGCGATTTGTTGATCTTGGGCACTGATGGTGTTCATCTCAATTTGACACTTGCTCTCGGCTTCCTTCTCGCACCTCAGCATGTTCGCACGTTGTTCCGCATGCGCCTCAATCTTGTTTCAAATAGAGCATGTCAAGTTGATGTAATCAACTCCAGTTACATAAAATATTCAACTAAGCATAGCTAAACTCTGTTACCTCTACCAAGGAACTTCAGATTCGAGATGCTTTCAAGCTGCCTCAAACTCTTGCAAAGCTGTGGACCGCGGGGCAGCTTTGGCAGCAAGCAACCTCAGAGAACTATTCACCCAACTAATAATCAGATGCTGAAAACTTTACAAAGCAACCAGCTTCCAGCAAACAGGCATAAAACTTGGCCAGGGAACTGGGTTGAATCTTGATCTTTGGCTTGATTGGGTTTTGTTCAAATCGTCTTCCTCCATCTCGGGCTCCTCGGCGCTGGCCTCCTGGAACAGATCCTTAGCAAATGCAAGCAAATGGAAATGATAAAACTCTTTCGCATCTTGTACCTGGCAAATCTTTGGCTTCTTTGTTGGCAAAGTGGCTGCAACTGCTCTGAAACCTGACCAACCTTTTTTGCAATTTAACCTATTTAGTTGGCTACCCAAAACTCCATGAGCTCTGCACCACCTTCCTTCACCTTGGCTGTCCTCCAATATTGCAGGTGCTCTGCCGCCTTCCCACCCTACCAAAACTAAGTCAAACGGAAGCTCGGTTCCAAATCTCAAAAGGAAGCCCCAGCAATATTAAGTCAAACGGAAACTCAAGTCGAATACTAAATCAAAGGCCAAATCTCAAAAGGAAGCTCCTGCAATACTAAAGCAAACACAAGCTCAAGTCTACCAATACTAAACCAAATGGAAACTCAGTTCCAGATCTCAAAAGGAAGCCCCAGCAATACCAAATCCCAAGTCTGCCAATACTAAATCAACTGGTCAAATCTCAAAAGAATGTCCTGCAACACTAACCCCATTGTTGGGGAGCGGGGGCTCTTTACTACTGCTAGGTGGACACTAGCTGAGTATTTGTGATACTTACCTACTTAAGACAGAAAGCCTCTACCAGAAGCCGGCCTGAGGCTATCCTATCCGCGTGTTCTTTCCGGAAGCCGGTTTGAGGCTTTGTGTTCTATCCGAAGAGTGCCTGCAGCTGTAAAGGATCTGGAGTTGCCGAAGGTGCGTGTCGAAGTCTATGAGTGCATCAGGCGGTTGTTTGTGTCTCTGTGGCCGGCGTACCATGGTCCGTGTTGCTGTCTGAGTGTTTGTTTGGCTGGCGCCCTTGCTGTTGGTTTTTGAGTTCCTCCCCGTTGGCGAGTGATTCAGCACGCCCGTTCATGTTCGACCGTCGCTCTTGATGATTCTGGGCCATCCATCATCTATGTTATCGAGATGACAACCCGAAAGTCAATGGTTGAGTTCTGTGCTTGCCAGCTCTTGAAAGTTATGGTCGCTTGTGTTGGGCGTTTAGTGAAGTGCCGGCCCGCAATGTTGGTAGGTGAGCGGGTCAAATTGAGCGTCAAGGACTTGAACAACAAGGGCGCGGAGTCTTGGGAGGCTTGGACGAGATGAGCGCAGGATGCTGATTGTGTGACATTGTGTGTTCATGCTTTTATTACTTTATCCTCACAATTCTCCGTTGAACGCGTTGGGGGTGTTGGCCTAGCGAGGAGTTCGGAAGTGGCAGAGGAGCATGCCCTGCCCGGAACTACGCATGTTCCATGATCAAGACAACAGTCGCTTATTTGCTCCCTCGATTGTCGCGCTCGTGGGAGGACTCGGGGATGCAGAAATGCGTTCGGCAGTTTTGCCTTGAGGCGCCGTGTTTTCCGAGTGAGTGAGTCGGCAACGAAATGGTTTCCCAGATGTATGGTGGGTGCATGTTCACGCGTTTCTATGGCGAGAATGGGGCTGGAATTGCCGCCAGGGCCGCAGCAACAAAATTTCTGCAACGCGCAGTTGGAGCCGTAGTTCGAGGTAAAGAGCGCTAGAACCACATGAGCAGCGATCAAACATGCTCAAAGCAATTTAAGTAAGGGAGCGCTGAAATCAATCCGCGCGGAAGGTTTTCCGCAGGCCGCGGAAGCTTGCGGAAGGGACGGCGGAAGTTGACTACGAAATTTGCGCAGCGGAAGGGCGCGGAAGGGCAACATTTTTGGAGCGTCAAAAGGTGTAGAAATCTCTTGCTCCCCAGCCCTTGCTTGGGCCCAACAATCGCCCCCGGGCCAAAAAACAATTTCTTCGGGCCAACAAATCGTTTCTGCACCAAACGCTTTTCACTGGCCTCACAAGCTGTTTTGGCCGTCGCCCCGTAAGAAGCGCAGCTTTGTCTTCCGTGGGGGCAGATCAGCGCGCTTTTTTTCGAGTCAGCGCGCAGGCTTCTTCTGAAATGGCCGGCTGGGCCGAGATTTACTTTTGAGTTGAAGTGAAATGGTTTTTGCTCCCGGGCGTAAAAGCGATTTGTTCGGGCCAAACAAATCGTTTTACGCCCGGGCGCAAAAACGATTTGTTTGACCCGAACAAATCGTTTTTACGCCCGGGGAGCAAAAACGATTGTGTTTGGCCCGAACAAATCGTTTTTACGCCCGGGCGCAAAAACGATTTGTTTGGCCCGAACAAATCGTTTTTAGGCCCGGGGAGCAAAAACGATTTTGCTTGGCCCGAACAAATCGGTTTTACGCCCGGGAGCAAAAACGATTTGTTTGGCGAACAAATCGTTTTTTAGGCCCGGGGAGCAAAAACGATTTGTTTGGCCCGAACAAATCGTTTTTAGGCCCGGGGATCAAAAACGATTTGTTTGGCCCGAACAATCGTTTTTACGCCCGGGAGCAAAAACGATTTGTTTGGCCCGAACAAATCGTTTTTTAGGCCCGGGGAGCAAAAACGATTTGTTTGGCCCGAACAAATCGTTTTTACGCCCGGGAGGAAAAACGATTTGTTTGGCCCGAACAAATCGTTTTTACGCCCGGGAGCAAAAACGATTTGTTTGGCCCGAACAAATGGTTTTTACGCCCGGGAGCAAAAACGATTTGTTTGGCCCGAACAAATGGTTTTTACGCCCGGGGAGCAAAAACGATTTGTTTGGCCCGAACAAATCGTTTTTGGGCCCGCGGAGCAAAAACGATTTGTTTGGCCCGAACAAATTGCTTTTACGCCCGGGAGCAAAAACGATTTGTTCGGCCCGAACAAATCGTTTTTGCTCCCCGGTTTTTGCTTCCCGGGCCTAAAAACGATTTGTTCGGGCCAAACAAATCGTTTTTGCTCCCCGGGCGTAAAAACGATTTGTTCGGGCCAAACAAATCGTTTTTGCTCCCGGGCGTAAAAACGATTTGTTCGGGCCAAACAAATCGTTATTGCTCCCCGGGCCTAAAACGATTTGATCGGTCCAAACAAATCGTTTTTGCTCCCCGGGCCTAAAACGATTTGTGCGGGCCAAACAAATCGTTTTTGCCCCCCGGGCCTAAAACGATTTGTTCGGGCGAACAAATCGTTTTTGCTCCCCGGGCGTAAAAACGATTTGTTCGGGCCAAACAAATCGTTTTTGCTCCCCGGGCGTAAAAACGGTTTGTTCGGGCCAAACAAATCGTTTTTGCTCCCGGGCCTAAAATGCGTGGAGATTGATGTGGGGCTCAATTCGCGAAACACTGGAGGAAGGGCGCGGAAGGACCGCGGAAGGGCTTCGTGATTTGGATGACTTATGTGTGTGATGTGTTGTTCTCGCTGGCACTGTACGGGAATCGTAGCCGCGGTGTGTCGTGAGGCTTCACGTTTGCGGTTGCAAATCTATTGGGATTCGCGTTTCAGCGTCGTTTTGAGTATGGCACCCATAAACCATTTGCTACAGCCGTCTAGGCTCCACAGACCAGGTCAGCGTTGCTTCACGAAGGAAACGGGTGGTGGAGAACAAGCTCAATATCTAGTTGTGTTGGCTCGGCAAGAAAGAGACGCAAGCCGCGGAAGGCGCGGAAGGGAAATGAGAGCGCGGAAGCAAACACCCGCAGCGCGGAAGCGCGCGGAAGCACGCGGAAACGCCAAATGATATCATCGCAATTTGGCCTATTGATTTTGATCACCGCTCACATTGCTTCAAAACCCAATCCCAGGCACGTCTGCGGTCCCTCGTGTGTACTAGTGGGGCGCGCTTTCCGGCCAGTGTGTGCGTTGGGAGAGCTTTTTATTGAATCAACTCTGCGCGCTGCGAGGTTTGTGACGGTTTGCCTTGAACAGGTTGTGTTGTCGAGTCGGCGCCGGGTGCATGTTCGCGTAACGATAGTTTAGCCAGTGGTTTTGCGTGACCGGTTTCTAGCAAAATGTGGCCAGTTCTAGTGACCGTTTTGTAGGGCGGGAGTCTGCGCTGGAAACCAACATTGAGATGTCCAAATTTTGTGGGAGGAGTGCCAGCGGCCGGAGCCGCTGGCAGTCAATGTGTGTGATGCCTTGGTTCTATTCGATGGCGATCTCTGACCTTTTGATCCTGCGCACCTTGTCAGCAAGAATATGTTGCGTTACAGGACTTGACCTAGCAGCAACGCTTCCGGGCTTGGCCTGCATGCATTTTGTGTGGCCCGCGCAGAGAACTCCAATCGTAGGCAGTGACCGTACAGCCCCAGGGAAGATGCCGCGGCAATAGCTTTTTTTACACATGCGCTTCTGTGCGTGCGCGCTGGCATGATGAAGGAGGGAGGAGGAGAAGGAGGAGGAGGAGGAGGAGGAGGAGGAGGAGGAGGATGACGATGCTCGTCTGTTGTCGTTCGATGTGACAGCGTCGAAACCTAGCTAAGTGCAAGTTAGCAGGGGCGACCCGTCCCTCTGCCCGAGTAAACCCGGACGGCGAATTCTTGTTATTTCTGGACTTGGGTTGTGACTCATCCGTATAAAGTTCTTTGCTTTGCTAGGTGCCATGACTCATGCCAGGGTTGGCGTAACAGGGTCGGTAGTTTGCTGCAACCGATGCTTAGCATGTCGGCGCCCCGTCGACTGCTGACTTCATCAGCGAGGTGAAAGACTTCAGTGAGCGCGAGCCCATGTTTTTGGGCCCAACTCTCTGCGGGTTGGGCCAGGATTTTGACTTGCAATGACTGCAGTGACTGCGTTGCTTTGTTGGCTGGGAGTGAAGAATCACTCCCTACGGCCAACGTGCAATTGTCAAGCTGGAGATGACGCGCTTCGCGCACGTTTTTATAGTTCTTTTCAAGCTTGTAGAACGACCGCAGTGACTTGCTCACTTTGCTGGGAGTGCAAGCAGCCCTCCCAACGGCAAATGGCAACTTTGGAATGGTCAAGCTGAAACATCGCGGCTGCAAATTCATCGTGGGAAACATGGACGCGCGAGAGGCTTCCTGCCAGAGTTGGTACCAGCACGCAATTGAGTGTAGCCAGAGGTGAGGATATTGCGCTACTGCGCGGCTAGGTCACTCCCTGCGCAAAGCTGGCCCTGAGTACAAAGCCAAGCCCGCGCGGCGCGTCTATGCTGGACAGCCCAAGGCATGCTAAGGAGAGGGCTGGAGCAAAGCATTTGTTTTCCTTCGACGTGATTCGTTTGAAGAAGTAAGCGCTGCTCTCTGGAGAAGGGAATTACGGGCGGGTATTCGCGGACATTCCCATTGCGCGGGCGGATATTTGCGGAAATCCTTAGCCGGCAGACTTGCCGAACACGTCCTTTTTGTCTTGTGAGGGGGGGGTGAGTCCCAAACCAGAGGATCCGATGTCCCATTACTGGATGTAGAGATATTGGATGTCTCTGGGCAAATAGGTATGCAGTGATTGTCCCTGTGGGCATACTGCAAAGTTCTTTCTCTCCGATGATAAATCGCAAGCGTAGTCTGAGAAGCAGAAAGACCTTGAGCCAAAATGGTTGTGAGAAGTTCAATGGTCTAACGCGAAGCAAAAGCAAAAGCAAAACAAACACACCCTTGTTTTGACTTGCCACACCAAACTGAGTATGTATGTGGAAACATAAATGCTCGCTTGGACTTTTGTGCCGTAGTCCTTTCAAATAGATTTGCGCGGAAGTTATATTCAAGTCATCGTGATCGATTTTTGTTCGTCCGGCAAACGGGAAACATACACAGGTGGTTGAAATCGAATTCGTACACAGGGGTGGCAAGCAAAGAGGAACTTTGTCATGTCTAAAAGGTTGCATTTTTCTTGATGATACTTGCTGAAATCGGCAGGATTGTCGTGTGAAAGTATCGGTTGTCTCTCTCAATGAAAACCGACCTATAGACGAGGAGGTTGATGTCGCAAGAACCTTAAGATTAGTATATGCATTACTAGAGAATGCTTGACAATACTAATCGTAGTAAAGACACCCATGCCTTAAACGAACTTTCCTCGAGACTCCCCAATGTTATATCCCCGACAACAGCCCAATCGCCTCGTAATTCACCGTTGCTACTACCATTTAGTACTACTTTATGATCACCATAAGTAGTATCTAAACCAAGAACAAATCTTGTTGAGTTCGCTGTATTTGTACTTCTTATTGTTGCATCGTTAGCTTTGACTATAAATTTGGTAGCATGAAAACATAAATTTATAAGCAGCACCAATAATGATATTTTCAGTTCTCAAGCTACCACCACTACTAACAACAGGGTCATAAAAATATTTCTGTATCTGTTCCTTCTGAACCACAGTCAACAGATATCCTTGCACCTAATGCTGTATCAGTACATGCTATTTGCAAGTTGTTAATCGCACCTACATTTTCAGAACAACTGATTACACCAGTTCCAAGTCTCATTGTAGTAGCCGCATTCACATTCAAACGACTAGTAACATTAATATCACTTCCGCAAGATGCTTGAATGCTGTTGGTAGCAAGGGTGCTTTGGCAGTCTATCGCTGTAGAAACAACTATTTTAGGAGTACTACCATTAGCGAATATGCGTTAACACCAATCAAAAATAAACTACTTGTAGCAACTAAAGTATGTTTTCCAGTCCAAGCTGACGGGCCAAAGTTCAAAATGTGCTACTAGCTAAACCGAAAGTCTTAACTGTTCCACTAAGATTTATATCACCAGTAGCAGTTAAACTCCATTTGCCCAAACATGTCCAAGCACATCTATAGGTTTGCTAAAAACTGTTACCATCACCAACACTCGCAGCAACAAAATTAGTATGCGCCGTACATGAACAATCTACCGCGTCGGGTGTGTATCTTTGTATTGAACCACTACCAGCAAAATTCAACTATGACCAATATGAAGAGATACTGCCTTGTCCGTGCGCATAAACTGGAGTGTGTCAGAAAATCCCGCTTGCCCGGCACGGCTTAAAACAACCACAAACACAAACCGCACCTCAACCGAACCTATCCTTCACCCACACACGACAAACATGAGCGTCTCCTTTGACATGTTATGTGTAGTCCTAAATTAGGTGAAGGTGTAGTGCGAAGTCTATCACATTAGTAAGCATATTTGTATTATCACTGAAACTAACAGCGCCTAACTTTTCACCTTGATGTATCTTGCGAGTTGTTGATCGTAGTTATTGCGCTAATTATGTTTATGTTTCCTGTCACGCTAAGTTTTCTGATTGTACAACACAACGAGAATCAGAACCTGTAGCTTCCACAACAGATGGACAAGGACGTAAACCTGATACTTGTAACTTAGAAAAAAGTGTTGTGTTTTGATTTAACACTGTTTTAGCATTTTGAAAGTTAGCGCTGTTGTGCTCCAAAACCTTCTTTGGTTCAAAACATCGTTGAACCTGTTAAACTTCCTTAAGCATAAGTATCAATGTAGTTATTGCGTAACTTGTGATAGTAATTTTCGGAAGTCTTCTATGTTGAAAGTTGCTGTGATCGTTATATTGTGCATCAGTACGTTGTTTGCTTTTGATGTGTCTAGCCTCTCTGTGTATAGATTATTCGGTGTTTTGTTATATTACAAACTACTACGAAAGGAACCTGATTGTAACTGGGCCATTTAACGAGAACTTGATGAAATATTGCTAAAACTAGTTGACACAGTTGAGCTTACAGTGCTTATGAAACTGAAAAAATTAGCTTGGTGAAATACTACTAAAATTGGCATCTACTTTACTTACATTTCCTGCTATTGTTGGAAGTATTGATGAAATAATAAGACCGTGTGCGGTACTGTGATTTAAGATATGGTGGAATGGTTGTATTTGTATTTATACTTGCCTAAGCTAGTGTTGTTGATGTAGATCGTAAAGAAGATGCGTTTGTAATATTAGGACCAGTTTTTGATTTTTGAGGGCGTCTGTCTCACTTTGGTGTAAGTGCCCACGGCAGGTGATACTTCACTTTGTTTTACGTATATACCATGTACTACCACTGATGCGAGTACAACTGTTTGCTACAAAATCTGAGTTGAATGATGTTTTACTCAGATTTTTTCGAATTGAAACTTATTATTCTCATACTCTTTTTAAATCGGACAATTTAAAAAAAATGTGCGGATTTCAATCATAGTTTCAGGACACATTAAAATGTTTTGCATCTCCCCCGTTTTACTATCAGTATATATTGTTCTGTTCTCCATCGCCTTTTTTTTCACCAATTATTTCTAATGTTCGTTCCAGTACAGTTAGCGCTTTCTACTTTTTTGAAGGTTAAACCCATACATAAGAGCGCGAGATCTATAGTCTTCCGCACTAACAGCGTGAGACTTCAAAGTAATAGGAAGAGAACCAGCTTCTAAAAATTTAGCATACTCGGCATATAAACTTTCCTCAGGAGTATAGACATCTGCTTTAAAGACAGGTTTTGTAATAGACAACGTGATGCTCGCAGTATCAGCCGTAAAAAGTCCTGTTCTATTAACAAGTGCGTGTAGGACATGTTTTCACACGTCTTGAAGCATCTCGAATCTAGATCAAAATAGACAGTAGCACTTTTACCCGCGTTAACTCATTTATCAAAGGAAGTTTAGAAGGAACTTCCGTGTTACGGCAACTAATTGAAAGCCAGCTCTCGCTGAGACAGATGAAGAGAAGGAATAAGCGCGCGAGAAGCGCGTGTGGTGGGAGTATAGAAAGCTGCAAAAAGCATGGTCCCGTGTGTCTCCGGAGAGCCGAAAGCTAGCCTGTTCGCGGCGGCGCCTGGTCGGACCACTCTCGGAGCGCGTTCGGCCCATTGGCACGGCAACGCGGAGGTTTCGCAAGGGTTGAATTGCGTGGCAGGCGCAGCACTTTCGCAAGGTGAGGTGCAGATTTCGTGGCAGGCGCAGCACTTTCACAAGGTCATGTGCAGATTTCGTGGCAGGCGCAGCACTTTCGCAAGGTCATGTGCAAAATTCATGGCAGGCGCAGCACTTTCGCAAGGTCAAGTGCAGACTTCCTGGCAGGCGCAGCACTTTCGCAAGGTCAAGTGCAAAATTTGTGGCAGGCGCAGCACTTTCGCAATGTCAAGTAAATATTTCGTGGCAGTCGCAGCACTTTTGCAAGGTCAAGTACAGATTTCGTGGCAGGCGCAGCACTTTTGCAAGGTCAACTTTCGCAGCCGGGCTCGGAAATCGCAACTTTCACGTACGAAAGTAGTACGCGAAGTCAACTTTCGCAGCTGGCTTGAACATCGCAACTTTTAAGTACGAAAGTAGTACGCGTTTCTGGTCGAGTTGCTCAACCTACTTCGAGCAACACGCTCCATGATGCTTTGAACTTGGATGAAAACAGAATTACTTCCAGGGGTGCAGTTGAGGTCTTGTCTGAGTTGCGCAGCTTCGTCACAGACTTGAAGTGGAACAACAATTGAAAACGCAACTTTTAAGTGCAGATATAGATGGATAGATAGATAGATCTGTAGACAGATGGAGAGATAGTCAGAGAGATAGGTAGAAAGAGATAGAGAAAGAGACAGATAGATAGACAGACAGAGAGAGATAGATAGATAGATAGAGAGAGATAGAGAGAGAGAGATAGAAAGAGATAAATAAATAGAAAGAAAAAGAGATAGATAGATAGATAGAGAGATAGATGGATAGAGAAATAGACAAATAGATAGATAAACGGTAAACAGACAGATAGATAGGTAGACAGATAGGTAGGTAGATAGAAAGATAGGTAGATAGATAGATAGATGGAGAGATAGACAAATAGATAGAAACAGAGATAGAGAGAGATGGATAGATTGGTAGGTAGATAGAGAAATAAATAGATAGATAGATAGATAGACAAGTGTATGGAGAGGTAGATAGAGAGATAGGTAGAGAGAATGAGATAGAGAGGTAGATAGAGAGATGGATAGATAGGTAGACAGATAGAGAGAGAGATAGATAGATAGGTAGACAGAGGGATGCGTAGAGAGATATAGAGCTAGACAGACAGATGGAGAGGTAGATGGATAGATAGATAGATAGATAGAAAGAGATAGAGAAAGAGATAGAGAGATAAACAGATAGAAAAGAGAGATAGAGAGATAGAAAGATAGAAAGAAAGAGAGATAGAGAGATAGATGGAGAGATAAATAGTTAGATAGATAAACCAGCAGAAGATAGATAGACAGATAGATAGAGAG